CACTTGTGTGGTTTTCACTTGTGTGGTTTTTTCTTTTATTTTTGTTTTTGCCTGGTAGGGGGGTCTTCCTTGTTTCCCCCCCCCCCTTATATTAGGTTCGTTTGTGTGGTGGCACCCCCTGCTTTGCCCTCGCGAGTGGACACGTCCCTTGGGTTCAGCTTTAGCAGTTTGCTTGGTAGTTTGGGGCGCCGGTTAGCAGTACCCTGCCTGGGATAACCCTTAGCAGACCCAGTCTAGGGGCCCTGGGAAACCCCCTGGGGGCTCTCGGGTCCGATAGTGGAGACCCTTGCGTCCCCTCTCGCTTTGTGCGAGTTGAGGGTTGCTCTGTCCCTTTGTCTCAGGATGACTCTCCTTGTTTTTGCCTCCGTCATGCTGCCTGTTGGGTCGGTGACACATTCGACCCTTGAGTCCTGCGAGCTTTGTTGCTTGTTCGTGACTCCATTCACCCAGTCTGCTGATGAATTCCCGTGGGTGCAGGCAGCTCGCGCGTTGCAGGGTAGGATGTTGCAACGCGCTCTGGTTTGTCGCTTCCCCGGACGCCCCGATGCTGCCCCGCTTGTGTAGGGACCCAGACTTGGGCGGTTTTGGTCGCTTCGGCCTTGGTTCCTTCCACGCCCCCCTTGTTTTTCCCCTTCCTGCTTCCGGCCCCTACGCATCTGCAGGCTTCGGGGTCGGGGCGGGGTTAGAGATTCTGAGACTTGGGCAGTTTCGGGGGTTGCCCCGTCCGGGGTAGCTGCGGAGGCATTCGAGTCTGTTCCTCCGGCCGATGCTCCGGGGTTTTGACCAGTGGGCCCCCTTCTCTTTCAGCTCTCTCGGCTGCCCCGGCTTTTTCTTGTGAGGCCAGGGCTTTGGAGGTCAACTCGGCCCCGGGGCCTGGTGCAGAGGCTCCTGGGGTTGGGGAGGAGCGGCCTTGGGGGCCTTGGGCTCCATTGGGCCCCGCCTGGATTTCAGTCCTTCTGAGCGGGGCTTACTGTTACGAGGAGTGGGGTTTTCTTTCCCCCCTCTGCATACGATTTGGGCTTGGGTTCTGCTCCTCCCCGGGTTCGGTTCCGTGTCCCTGTGGTTTCTTCGGTTCCGTCTTCAGGAGGTTTTCGGCTAACTGCATCTCTTCGCCTGCGGTGCGGTTGGCCTTTGCGGCTTCCTCCTGCGTGTCCCGGAGTTTGCCTCCATACTGGTTCCTTCTGTTCTGGACAGGTTGGGCTCCTTGTAGCAGTTTGGGCTCCTTGTAGCAGTTTGGGCTCCTTGTAGCCGTTTGGGCCCCTTGTAGCCGTTTAGGCTCCTTGTAGCCGTTTGGGCTCCTTGTCGCCGTTTGGGCTCCTTTGTAGCCGTTTGGGCTCCTTTGTAGCCGTTTGGGCTCCTTTGTAGCTGTTTGGGCTTCTTTGTGGCCGTTTGGGCTCCTCTGTGACCGTTTGGGCTCCTTGTAGCCGGTTGGGCTACTTCTCGCTTTATTGGGCTACTTCTCGCTTTATTGGGCTACTTCTCGCCTTGTTGGGCTACTTCTCGCCTGGTTGGGCTACTTCTCGCCTGGTTGGGCTACTTTCTTTCGCGTCCTGCGCATGCGCCGTGGGAGTTTGTTTTGGTTCCGGGTGGTGTGCACACGTGTTCTGCTCCAATTCTCTCGGGGGGCTTTGCCTCTCTTTCTTTTCTTATTCCCATCCGTGCCCCGTTGCTTTGGGGGTGTTCTGGGGTGCCGCTGTGTGGAATTCATGAGGTTTTTCCCTGCTTTCTAGGGTGGGGAGCCTCCTTCGCTGCTCCCATCCTCTCCAGCGTGCGCGCACTGGCCGCCTCCGGCGGATACGGACTCGAACGCTTGCGTCATGGCCCTTCAGGGCCTATGTTCTGCAGGTGAGTTGGTGCGGTTTTGGCGTCTTCTTCGTCCTGACGCTGTTTTTGTTTTTGGGAGTAGGAATGGGTGTACATAGGTGTACTTGAGAACGTGGACCGTATCACCCGAGGTGCCTACTGCAGGGCTATTAGCCCATACTGGGCAGCTCTTGTTCTCTCCACCTGATTCCTTCCTCAGTTCACGGGTGTCTGCAGGTGGCCTCTTGTCCCTTCCGAGGTGGTTCCTGCCTGTACTCCTCCTGCCCCTCTCCTATGCTTGTCTAACCTTGCTCGAGTTCGGGGCCCCGCCTCCACCTTGTTCCGCAGTGCAACGGTGGGGATGCCTGTTTGGTAGTACGTTTTCCTGTGTCGGAGGTTTTGTGTTCGCCTCCTTGTGTTTGCAGGTTGGGTTCTGCCTGTCGGGCGGATTCTGTGCTTCTTGGGCACTCTCATCTCTGCTCTTGGGGCTGTGTATGGGGTCAGCCCATGTTGGGCTGCCTAATGTGTTCCTTTGATTGCCTGTTACACTGCACACGTTTCTTCTACCGTCCCTAAGGCTCAGTTGGGTGCTCGGTTTCCGCCTATGTACCCTTGTGTGCCACTCGTGTACGATTTATCTATCTTCTGTCGCTTCCTCGGGGAGTGTGGTGACGTTTTGCTGCGGTTTTGGTACTGCAGCTTCGTGTTGGGGTTGGTTGTGGCGTTATGTTCGGCCCTTCCATGCTCCCTCTGGGGCTCTCCTTCCTTGCCGGTCTTGCCGTGCAGGGCCTGGTTTTTCCATGTTCCTTGGTTTCATTGTCTTGTCCTCGCCTCATTGTGCTGGCTGGGGATGAGCTTGGGGTCTTCATCTCGCCCCTCGCCTATCCTCCGGTTTCGGTTCAAGTTCCGGAGCCTAGTGGGCTCCCTTCCTTCATGTTTTTCATGGCTGCCCCGGGGTTTTCTTGACGCTGGGGCTTTGAGGGGACAGCTCGGCCCCGGGGCCTGCAGGGTGGGTTCCCGGGGCTGGGGTGGGGCTCACGTGAGAGGCCTCAGACCCCGTTGGTCCCCGCCGGGGTGTTTCTAACCCTCTGAGGGGGACTTGCAGTTTTGTGGTGTGGGGTTTTCCGTTCCCCCTCTCTGCATGTGCTTTGTGGGCGTCGGCCCCTTCCTGGGCTTGGTTTCCTTGTCTGTTGTACCCGTTGTTTCCGTCCTGTTGGTGGGTGCTTTTCTACGATCTTCGCCCCTTTTTCCGGGACGGGCCTTCTTCCGTCATGTCCCCCTCTTCTTGGGGTTTCTGCATGACTTTTGGTCTCGGGTGCGACGAGGTTTTGGGGCCTTCGTCCTTTGTGTTTGCTTCTTTTTGTTCTCGAAGGTTTGGGACTGTTTTGCTCCTTCCCGTTTTCTGGTGCGTCTGTCGTCATTTGGTTGAGCTTCCCTCCGGTCCTTTCTAGGGCTTGTGGGTCCTCTTCCCAGCAGCTTCTGGGTGTTGGCCTTTTTGTTCTTTTGTGAATATCTCTTCTCTTCACACTGTCTCGGCGCTCCTAGTTTTCCTGGGAGCGATTTTGCTCCTCCTAATGAGTCTTTTCGCTCCTGCCCTTCTGCGGGATGTTGGTGCGGGGCGGCTCCTTATATGAGTTCCTTCCCTGTCAGCTGCACTTATGGAGGTGGTCTTGCTCACTTGTGGCATTTTCGTTTTGGTCCTGCGTTTTCTTTTCCCTCCTGGGGCTGTCATAGGATTGGCTTGCGGAGGATGTAGAGGCGCTTGGGGCCGTTCCTGGGTCTGGCACCTTGGTTTCTGCTGCTAGCTTTCGGTATCGATATTCCTTCTGCGCCGTTTCGCAGGTTGTATTGTGCGTTGTTACACCTCCGGCTTGCTTATGCACTGTCTGTGTCGTCCTGGTCTTTGGACAGGGTGCTCTCCTGTTTTTCTTCTCCTTGGTGGTTGTGGCTCCTTGGGGTCAGGTTTGCTTTGCCTCGGTTTTCTTTTTGTGTTGGCATTCGCCTCTGGGGGCCGTGTGGCAGAGCTTCTTGCTCTTCTCAGGCGCAGTGGTTTTTGGCTCCTATTGTCGTGATCATAGGTTTTCTTCGTCTGTGGCCGTTCTCCCCTTTTTCTGGCGAATGCTATACCTTGGGTTGTTGTCTCGACTTCGTGTTGTGGAGTGATTCTCCTACCGCCTCCCGGGTATGTCCCCTTGTTTTTTAGGTAGTCTTTGGTGAGGTAGCTCCGGGGAGCCGTAGGGGCTCCCCCCAGAAAACCAGCGTTGAATGTAATGAAACGCCATTTTCTGGGTGAGTCCAGGAGGCTCACCGGCACCCTCCCGCCCTCCGGTCGGCGGGTTTTTCACGGTTTTGATATCCTGCCTCAGAACTGGGGCGGGGATTGCCGGCGCGGGGGTATGGGGCTCCCCCTTCCCCCTCCCTGGGAGGGGGGAGGTGCGCAGACATGCGGCGCGGCTTGCGTGACGTCATGCTTGTTAGTTCGTTTTCCTGGGGGAGTTCTGTCCACTCGTTTGTCGATTTTGTTGTTTAACCAGAATAGGGGTTTGTTTTGTGGCGCTTACCTTTCTGGGTGCCTGTCCCGGTCGATGGCAGATATAGAATGCTCCAAATCACATGTGCATTTCTATGGGCCATTGCTCCCCGTGCCTCTCTGAGGGGGCCAGGTTCTGGCTCGTGGTCCCCGGTAGGCCTAGAACTCCACCCACATCGACTGATGCAAAATAGTTAGGGTATCCATATTAGCCATGGATAGCTCCGGGGAGCCTCCGGGACTCACTCAGAAAATGGCGTTTCATTACATTCAACGCTGGTTTTTTGCTTTTATTAGCATATTTAGATTGAAAAATCAAGACAAAAGCATTGTAAAGAGATGATTGATTCAAGGAATGTGTGCTACCAGAATACTCTGCTTGTTACGACTTGTACAGTAATTTGCTTCATTTTTGGTTTAGTGGATTGTTCGTCTTGCAAATTAATATAACATTGTAAGTTTATGTAACATACAAGGCAGACATAGGGACACCTGTATATACAGTAGTGTAATCTATGTGGAACACCTATATGAAGAGTAGATTCTATTTGAGAACCCCTATATGTAGAGTAGATTGTAATCTGTAGATTGTATTGAAATTATCTACATTTGTAATTCCTTCCTCTGCCTTATTAATGTAAAATTGATATATTTTCCAATTATTCAGATACCCATACTACATTTTGAAAATCTATGATGTGGAACTTGGCTTCATCACCTGGCTTCGGTACACTATTTGGATTCCACTCTATCCACTCGGTTTCATTTTAGAAGGTGTGGTTATTCTTCGGTAAGTGAAAGACAACGTTTACTTTTGGATTTTGTAATAACTAGCTGCTAGTATTATGTGATACAAACTTTCTTTTATAGACAAATTTTGGAGATTATCACTGTCGAGTCCTTATTACATATACTGCCAATATTCCTGAGCACTCTCAATTATATTTGAAAATTGCTCAAAATAGGATAAAGTAATTTTCATGTGTAGCTTGAAGAAGGGGAGGTTACGTGGTAATAATTGTTTAGTTTGTTAAAAGTAAAAATTTCCAGATCCATTGGTTAATGTATCAAATTTTTTTTTTATTGAATGTACTGTATTTAAAATTTAATCACTGAAATCTTTTGAACAGGGACATTCCTTACTTTGATGAGACAGGGAAGTATTCGGTGGCTCTACCAAACAAATGGAATTTCGCTTTCCATTTTCCAACTCTCCTCAGGTGCTACCTCCTCTTTTTCTTCTTTCCAGGTGAGTTCTCATGTATATGTCTTCCTCTCTAAACCAGTATTAACTGATGTGTGCTTGGTCAACCTCTTACTATGTAGCTTTGTATGTGTGCGTGCGTTGATAAGCAAGCACATATCAGTCCTGAAGTAACCACCCATCCAAGTGAACATTGTCTTGTTATAGACGTGATATCTCTGAATTGTTTCAGCCATGGGTTAGACATACATATGAATGAATGACTTTAGGTGATTAAAAATAGGAGCTGACTTGTATGGGTAATTAGGCCTTCTGCAGTTTTGTTTATTCTTATGTTCTTACGGGAGGAGGGGATGTAACACTACTCTAGTAATTAGACACAGCAGTTGAGTGCTGAGTATGTCTTATGAAATCCCTCTTCTGGTCAAAGGAGAGGGGCCTTTATCAAGCTGTTCACAATGGCTGCCTGTATATGGCATATTTTCCTCCCTCTGGTAGTTGAGTCTACCCAGGTGTTGCAGCTCTTGGAGAAGGGGCCTATGGTGGGTTAGGTGGGAAGTTCAGTGATACCTAAATTAAATAATTAGATGCTCAATTCTGGTTGGGATTGTAAGTAATATGGAATCTGAAGAAGGCATAGATATTGTGAAGGCTGATGCTTGTGAAAAAAATTGCTGGGAAATCCACTAGTTCCACTGAAAGTTTTGTATGACCTTTGACTGTCTCATCCAATCTAGCTTTAAAAAAGCAGCATGGTAATAGTTCACAGTGAAGCTATGTATTCCTAATCCATGAAAAAGTTTATCATTGTTGAGCAGATGGCTACATCACTCAATGGTCAGAATAGGTAAAGAGAGCATGTTGTGGATCTCCTGGCCCACTGTTGCTTACATTCCTGTAGAAACCATGTTATGCTCTCAACTACTGTCAACTTTGCAAGAGCAAGATAAAAATTATTTACTCTTAACCCCTCAACTGCTCAGCTTCCAAATATGACCCCCCTCCCCGGTGAGCAGGAAATAAATTCTCTGGATTATTTTTTTTTTTTTTTTTTAAAGTGTCGAAAACCCTTCCTTGAGCATGGATATGTTAACAAAAAGTCAAAATTGTACTTACTTTTGCTGCTATGGGGTCCGTAAGTTCGCGCGTGATGCCATCAATCCCTTGTCGCCCGTGGTGTATGCCCCCCGGGGCCACTAGCGCGTCCGGCTCAAGATGCACGAGTTGCCACGAATATATTTTTGTTAATTTTTTGTGCACAGTTCCAAATACATTTTATTTGTTTTTTTTGTGCCAATCCTATGTATAATGAACACGTACACTACATTATGGTAGTAGAACATCTGTACTGTCTGATGACACTGTTACGTGCATGACATGTGTACACATATGTTGCACATATTTCCCATGCAACATGCTAATTTATGTATATATACAATCTATTTACACACTATACACTATCACACACTATATATATTCACCATCAACACACTCAGAACTCTGCAAGTGTCAGCTGCCACACTAGCCAGTCTCCCTCACTCCTCCAACACCTTACTCGCCATCACTCCTCCTCCCACCATACAGTTATTCACAGCAATGTTTCATGTTCAATTATGTATATTTACAACATATGTACACACTATATACATTCACCATTAACACACTCAGAACTCCACGAAGTGTCAGCTGCCACACCCAGTCAGTCTCCCTCACTCCTCCAACATCTTACGCGCCAACATTGCTCCTCCCACCATACTGTTATTGTTTGTATTACACTATTTACACATGTTATGTATACCTATCTACATGTTTTATTCACCAGAACTATGCAAGTAAGCCGATATTGTGTCCAAACTTTACAGTGGCCACTATACACTGCACGAGAAATCACACAGCAGCCAGCAGACGACGCTACGATTACTTCACCTCCCTCACCAAAATAGCTCCTCCCAACATACTCCTGTTGCTGTTATTACACTATATACACACACTGTATATACCCATGTGCAAATGTGTTCACCGTAGCGAACCAATAAGCTAGTATGATGAGCAAAACAAGAGTGGCTGCCACACACACACACACACACAATGAGGCTACCTCAATTCTCTCCCTCACCACAATTCCTCCTCCCACAACACTACGCAAAGTGCTAATTATCACCACAATCCTGCTGTTATCACAATACTGGTCACTAAATCCTGTAAATAAATAATTGACCACAAGTTTATTTTGAGAGAACCAGACACAATAAGAATTCCAGAGAACAACATAGAGCGGATAGAGGTGTCTAGAGATGAAGTGGAAAATATGCTAAAGGAGCTCGGGAGGAACAAAGCAGCTGGCCCAGATGGCGTTTCACCATGGGTTCGGAGAGAATGTGCATCTGAGCTCAGCATTCCACTTCACCTGATCTTTCAGGCATCCCTGTGTACAGGAATCGTAGCAGACGTGTGGAAACAGGCTAACATAGTTCCAATCTACAAAAGTGGCAGCAGGGAAGACCCCCTCAATTATAGACCTGTATCATTGACAAGTGTAATAGTGAAAGTATTGGAAAAGCTAATCAAAACTAAATGGGTAGAACACCTGGAGAGAAATGATATAATATCAGACAGACAGTATGGTTTTCGATCAGGAAGATCCTGTGTATCGAATTTACTGTTTCTATGATCGGGCCACCGAGATATTACAGGAAAGAGATGGCTGGGTTGACTGCATCTATCTGGACCTAAAAAAGGCTTTCGACAGAGTTCCACATAAAAGGTTGTTCTGGAAACTGGAAAATATTGGAGGGGTGACAGGTAAGCTTCTATCATGGATGAAAAATTTTCTGACTGATAGAAAAATGAGGGCAGTAATCAGAGGCAATGTATCGGAATGGAGAAATGTCACAAGTGGAGTACCACAGGGTTCAGTTCTTGCACCAGTGATGTTTATTGTGTACATAAATGATCTACCAGTTGGTATACAGAATTATATGAACATGTTTGCTGATGATGCTAAGATAATAGGAAGGATAAGAAATTTAGATGATTGTCATGCCCTTCAAGAAGACCTGGACAAAATAAGTATATGGAGCACCACTTGGCAAATGGAATTTAATGTTAATAAATGTCATGTTATGGAATGTGGAATAGGAGAACATAGACCCCACACAACCTATATATTATGTGAGAAATCTTTAAAGAATTCTGATAAAGAAAGAGATCTAGGAGTGGTTCTAGATAGAAAACTATCACCTGAGGACCACATAAAGAATATTGTGCAAGGAGCCTATGCAATGCTTTCTAACTTCAGAATTGCATTTAAATACATGGATGGCGATATACTAAAGAAATTGTTCATGACTTTTGTTAGGCCAAAGCTAGAATATGCAGCTGTTGTGTGGTGCCCATATCTTAAGAAGCACATCAACAAACTGGAAAAGGTGCAAAGACATGCTACTAAGTGGCTCCCAGAACTGAAGGGCAAGAGCTACGAGGAGAGGTTAGAAGCATTAAATATGCCAAAACTAGAAGACAGAAGAAAGAGAGGTGATATGATCACTACGTACAAAATAGTAACAGGAATTGATAAAATCGACAGGGAAGACTTCCTGAGACCTGGAACTTCAAGAACAAGAGGTCATAGATTTAAACTAGCTAAACACAGATGCCGAAGAAATATAAGAAAATTCACCTTCGCAAATAGAGTGGTAGACGGTTGGAACAAGTTAAGTGAGAAGGTGGTGGAGGCCAAGACCGTCAGTAGTTTCAAAGCGTTATATGACAAAGAGTGCTGGGAAGACGGGACACCACGAGCGTAGCTCTCATCCTGTAACTACACTTAGGTAATTACACTTAGGTAATTACACACACACACACACACCGTTATATGACAAAGAGTGCTGGGAAGACGGGACACCACGAGCGTAGCTCTCATCCTGTAATTACACTTAGGTAATTACACACACACCCAGCCACCACCAACCCCAAATCCCTTCCCCTCACCCTCCAGCACTGTCCACCCTCACCACCCTCACTGACCGTTGATGTGTTGTTGTGCATTGTCATGTACAGTACGCATCTTTCTACATTAGCACTCGTGCAGTCATGGGGAGGATATACCTTCATGCAAACTGCACATATTTTGAAGAAGAAGAGACAGAAAAGGATGTATGTGACATGCTAAGTGAACAGTACCAAACTGTGCTCTTGTAAAACATTTTCAGTGACCTAATTGCAATGCAAACTTTAGAATAAAATCTAGAGTTCTTTGATGTGCCTAGAGATTAGGTAGAAAAAGGCTAAAATTGTTTGGCAAAAACAGATCAGTCAGGCCAGATGGAGTAGATTTAGGGAGCTAGAGCACAGTGTTTACAAGGATGTGGACTAGCATTTAGTAGAAAGGTGACTGTTGGTGATAATGTTAGATGTTATCAAGTGCTAATAGGCAAAACATTCTCCTGGTTTGGTATTACTCTCCCTACATTGATGTGTTTTGTTATTTGATTAATTATAACAAGTCTGTCTATATGCACTATAGGTCCTTAGTAACTAATTGTGAAGTAATATATTATGTTTTCTCAGCTATGTACAAGATGATGAACTACATGTATCATCTGCGTATAAAGAAGTTAGGTCCCAGAAGTTGGAAGAAGAAGTTTGCCTAGTCAACCCGAGCAGTGATTGTGTAGACCAGCGTTTCTCAAGCAGGTTGCCATGGAACCCCAAGGTAACAAGGGGTTCCACAAGAGAAAGTTATAAATAGGTTAATTCCAAGTCTATGCAAATGTATTTTTGAGTAATTTTTGTGTTACATTTTTCTCATTTAACCAATTTCAAGAGCAAAGGCAGAACTTGTCCCCTTTCAGTTGACAATGAAGTTCTTTTATGTTTATCTAAAGTACGATCTGGAATTATTTGAAGGAGCAAAGGTTGAGAAACACTGGTGTAGACTGTATAATTGGAAAGTTCATATACAGTATTGGTAATAACTTTACCTTTTCTTTTACCTTTAAACCTTTTTTTTACCTTTTACCTTCACCTATAAGTCTTTTACGACATGCAGGCCATCTTGTTTTTCTAAGGTCATTTCAGAAATAATTTTGAAACATTTAATGTACTTGATAGTTTTTTTGGCTATCATTAATATTTGCTAGAACATTATGTACTGTATCTAAGTAATAGAAATATGGAAGAAAGAAACTTAAATGTATCAGCATTATCAGGGTGTTATTCTTATCAGTAACTAATATCTTGTGTAATTCATGTACTGTACAAGCACGGGGTCTGCCATTTGACCACTTCAAGACCGAGGGGTTTGAGAAAGGGTTAGATAGTCAGGCACGCTGTTGGAACATTTTGTTATATTTTTTTTTTTTTTAAATATGCAAGTCTCATTTGAAAACTCATCATAATATGTATTGTGGTAGACTTTGGTAAATTTGAGGTATATACTGAAGATTTAGGCAAGATGCTGAAGTTCTATAGGTAATTCTTCACATTAACACAGGATCATTTACTGCAAGCTTATATTGGTAGCCATTGCAAAGCAAAATTTTAATTTAAAAATAAATTCTTTCGTGATCTTTGCATGCTTGAAAAGTGTCTTTATATTGTTGAAATTCTTAATTTCCAGAGTACTGTACAGTACTAAAGTCAACTATAGATTTCATGAACTTAAGAACTCTTTCGAAGCACATAACACTTTTATGTTTTGTGTAGGCTTTTCTCTCTTCTCAACTGCTGCCTCCTTCCTGTTACATTGTTGACATAACTATCACACTAGCTTCTCTGATCTATAGTGGCTTCAAGTGTGGGTGATACCAATTCTCTTGAGTTGTGAGGACTATAGTCCCTTACTTTAAGCAAGGAGCTTAAGATATTCTAGATATTGTTTTTCACTGTTGTTCCAAAACTTTCAAAATCTATCTAATTGTCTTGTTGAGGAAATAATAGATGTGGCCCAGTGTCTGATTCAGCCATTCTTTAGGGTTGAATGTTTTACCTTCTTGAGGTTATCTTGAGATGATTTCGGGGCTTTTAGTGTCCCCGCGGCCCGGTCCTTGACCAGGCCTCCACCCCCAGGAAGCAGCCTGTGACAGCTGACTAACACCCAGGTACCTGTTTTACTGCTAGGTAACAGGGGCATAGGGTGAAAGAAACTCTGCCCATTATTTCTCGCCGGCGCCTGGGATCGAACCCAGGACCACAGGATCACAAGTCCAGTGTGCTGTCCGCTCGGCTCCCCATGCTTGTGTTACACTTTTTTATTAAGGATTTCATGAAGACCTTTATACTGTCCTGTTAATTTAGGTATCTGGAAAAAAGTTATTTCTGTAATGGCTTTTAATTTGGAAATTATGCCTTGATTCATGGGTTAGATAAATTAAATTGCATTGGGAGCAAGTACATAATAAAGAGCATTATTTTGACTAACTTGTCATGTGGGTGTGATATGCTGTTACCTAGAAATAGTACCACGTTGCCATTGTCTAGGGATCAAAATGGTTTGAAAGTCTGTTAAAATGTTTCTAGATACCCATGCATATTTCTAGGCATTAATAATGACAGGGAGATACTTAGTCCCTCTATATGCCCATGATATAACAACTTTCCATTACAAAGAATTTGCATTTAATACATACCAGGTGTATGTATTATACCATACCACTGCACACCGAGTGTCTCTTTATCTTGCTTATACCCAGCAGAAGCATTAGTTTTAATACAGTAAGCAAATATATATACATATACAGTATAAATGTGTCTTTTCAGCACTGTATACTTACTTGGGAGGTAAATTATCAATTTCCTCGATTCTGTCGATGTTCTCCTTGGCACCTGCTGCATTAGCTAACTCCATCTTTCCACGTGCTTATTTAGCACTTTTAATATGTCTTGATCACCATTCGTTATAAAAACACTGCTTAGTTAATTTTTGTATGAAAAATCTTTGCGCTCTCCATAAGAAGTTGAGTAACTGCTAAATTTTAATCTTACTTTTAATGTACTTTTGTTTCATCATGTCTGCCCGTAACATGCCCATATTGCATCATTAGCACTCATTACTTCAACATAACTTAGTGACCTCATCTGGTGCATTGTGACAATAACAGGCAAATATCTTGGCTTTTATTTTAAAATAATGATTTTTGCTAGCAAAATTATCTTAATTACACACGAGACTTCAAGGGATGCCACTCTTCACTTTTTATTAGATAAATTTCCAGTCAAAATTTGTCACGGAATGTTTCTTTTTCCACGTATTTTGAGCTAGTACGATGGCAGAATATTTGATACAGGAATAGTGTAATTAAAAACAAAACTAAGGAACATGAAGAGTGAAGAATAAGCTTGCATATCTGTGCATGTTGTAAATGCAAATCAGAGTCAGCATGCCAGTGTGGGTGCACAAATGAGAAAGCACCGATGTAGAGTCTTGAGTAGCCAACTGGGGAGAGCTACGCCTTTTGCCGTGGCCTTTTGCCATGGCGAGTGTGAGTGGGTAGGTTCAGTTAAAAACCAAATAGTTTGTCGGTTCAAGTAAGTGATGGTCATTTGGCAGATCAGTGTGTCTAATACCAGTAATAATGGCTGTGGATTGATTCACTTACTTTAGTTGTAATGATATAAATTGGAAGAGCCGTTGAAAACTGCAAATTACTAGACAATTGTTGCTAGTTTTATAAACGTGTCATTTCTGAATCAAAATATAGTGTTTTGTTTTTTATTAAGTGTGTATATTGTTTTTTCAGGCCAAATTAATGACCTATATTCTAAATTATAATTTTTACATCTTTTGCATTTTTTATATCCAAATAGTCATAATTCAAAAATTAGTTAAAGGCAGCCCAAACATTTCTACTAAATTTTCTACAGCTTCTGGAAGCATCTTATAAAGCCCTCTTATAAAGATCCAAAAAATACAAGGAATATTTTATTTTTAGGAACAAAATATATTTTTGATCTGATGTTGACGTGCCAGTCAATTTTGCAATTTGCATGCTTTGTGACATGTGACATAGGTACCCTAAAAGTGTCTGCTTTTGTGACATGTCGCAGGGGGACCCATTAGAGTATCTGCAATTGTAATATGTTGCATTGAGTCCCTAAGAGTACCTGCTATTTTGACAGGTAGCATTGGTTCCCTAAGAGGACCTTCTATTGTGACAAGTCAGGTGGGGACCATACGAGTACTTGCTACCTATGAAACTGTGGATAATAGTCACAGTAATGGTTATCCAAGAGTTTACAACTTAAAACAGCTACCCTAACCATCTGGCACTCTGTACTGCATCTCTGCTGGATGTCTAGTCACAAGTGGTAAACTTAGGGTAACTTGGTATAAATTCCCTCTGGTATCAGCCGCTGACCTACTACCTTCCAGAGTTCTACTTTCCAAGCCTGGCCTGGGGCCAGGCTTGTCACAATCTTTAGTAAATGCAGCAATGACAGTCTAGTTTACTTTGGCAAGAATTATATCTAGACCACTACTGGGCTTCATCTCTCTAATCTCACTGGTAACACCTATTGTCTGAGAAATGGTTGACTAGTCTCTCACTGTTAACTTCACAGAAAATTTGACACTGACTCAGTTATAAGTTACATTCACCCACTTTCCAAAAATTGCCGGTGCTATAATTTCCATTGGATAGTTCATAATGTGTAATAGTTTCTCTTGTAGTGCTTCAATGTTTGATGATAATTATTTTAGTATGCTAGGGTAACCTTACATTAACATCAACTAATATCCATTACTGCCAGGCTCTAACTCAATGTGTGCCATCTTACAACTCGAATAGGCATAAAATATAACATAAAGTACTATTGTGCACAAATCCGAATGTAAATTGTAAACTTATTTACTTCTCTCACACACATAGCCTAGACTAATTTCAAATGTGAATTTCTTACACCATGACAAAGGTTTCACAAATATTTGTTAGAATATGTGACTAATCTAGAACAGGCATTGAATAATAGTGGCTATTTTGATTCTTGTTGGCTTCACTTTCATTTGCTAGATACACTTTCTCCGACATCTCCTGCTAACACATCACTTGCTCTCTCTCAACAGTGATGAAGGTGCTATTAAGACACATTATATTGAGTCTAAAAATTACATGATTTCTATTATCTATAACATATTATAGGCTACCTTGCAAAAAAAATATTTGGGCTTCATTTGTATCATGGTCTTGGTAGTGGCAAGGCTCTGAGAAGAGCAGAAATGAATTCTAAGACTAGTAGCCCCATGACAGTGCTGTGTATGTTAGAAAATTTTGGAATTTTTCTCCCTTCTTTGTCTTTATGATTTTCATCATGGAAATCATGGTAGATCATGCTAGTAATTGTGCTGATTGACAGGTGTGCATTCTAGAACAAACTGATCATGATCAGTAACTTCAGTTGAAAAAACATTTTTGGCATCACCTTTTTGTCTTGTTCCAATTTTCACCCCTTGTAGTATATAAATACTGTACTACATATAGTTTAGTAATGCTATAGTTACTTATAGCATCATTACTAACAGTATATAACCTACTGTATCTACTATGAATATTGTCCTGCTAGATCAGACTCATTCATCAATTTCCATAAAATTTGGTCAGTATATGTAGGCCTAAAGATTTATCCTAGGAGAAGGTAAATAACTCTGAGGAAATTGTTCACTGATCAACTGTTACAACTGACACCAGTCAGTTTGGAAACTGACTCTTAACACTATAACCCCTACAAGACTTCAATTTGAGACTTGTACTAAACTCTAGGCTGGACTTACCTCTGCACAAGTTAATGTTCATCACAGCCCACCTAAACTTCAAATTTATAATGACTGGCAGTTACACCTATGATGACCTGTTGGTGCATACCTGTGTATAGTTACAGGAGTAGAGCTGTGCTCATGGTGTCCCACAGGCATTATTTATCATAGGTATTTTAAAAGTTACCCCAGTCTGAGTAAACAAAGTGTGCAAAGACCTTCGCACATCACAAGCATACCTTAATCAATTTGTAGTTAAAATGATAATTAAGTATTTGCAGTTGCTGGGGATCTTCCATTGCAAGCTGTGATACTTTGCCTCATGTCTTATCCTCTTGATATGGGATTATTTTTGTAATTCATAATTTACAAATGCCCATCAGAACCAGAAACTTAGATCGTTCAGACTTTAAAAAGAAATTCAGAGTGTGCACTCTAAAAGAGGACCGTGTGCTCAAAAAAAAAAAAGAGGACTGAGATGCTTTCAGAAACTGCAATAAAGGAAGCAGTTTATTTATTCCAGTTCAATCTGGAAGTCATTTATACTTACAAATAACTTCCAGATACCACACTATGGACATATAGTATGGTAGTAATCCGTAATGTAAAGGGTTTTAATAGTACCTCATCAAATTAAGTATCTCCAGTAGGAATATCTAATGGTTTGTGATATATTTTTTCCTCTTCCAAATATTATGTTCAATAACTCAGTGTGCTTTTTGTGTATTGACTTTGAACTTAAAGTTCACTAGTTTGAGCCAAAAAGCATGGCTTTTATTTATAATGAGTAATGTAGGCCCATAAAATGTTCTGTTATTCATAGTTTATAGTTTTCTTTATAACTGGATAAAACTATATTACACTGGCTAGAAACCTGCAATATTCATGTTTAATTATGAAACTTCATTATTTGGCTGTTGAGCCTAAAGGCAACTTTTTGTTTTGTTTGTTTCAAAATATACCAATTTATTTAATTGAAAAGTGTGAGCCAAGAGTTGTATTGAGTGTCCTCCATCCCCACATCATTCCTACCGAACCACATAATCACCCCCCTTCCCTCTCACAACCGGCTTGATGGGTTTCTGGGAGTTCTTCTACTCCCCAAGCCTGGCCCAAGGTCAGGTTTGACTTGTGAGAGCTTGGTCCACCAGGCTGTTGTTTGGAGCGGCCCGCAGGCCCACATACCCACCACAGCCCGGTTGGTCTGGCACTCTTTTTTTTTTTATTTTAGAAAACAATCTAGTTTTCTCTTCAAGATGTCCACGGTTGTTCCGGCAACATCCTCTGATCCTTACCACTCTAACTCGCCCACCCATTATATATATATATATATATATATATATATATATATATATATATATGTC